GTATTTAATCAAGTGATTAAAATGACTGATTTAGATCAGGAAATCTTCATGTCGCTCATGATTTATCATTTTCTGCAATTGGACTTTTAGTCCTTTAACCAAAGGGAGGCTGATTCTATTTGACTGGTAAACAAAACATGTTAATTCACATTAATTCTATAGTAAGTTCTGTCCCTCTCTTGCTGTGAAGATTTGTGATAACTGTGCACATTTTTTAAGTAGTTATGCAGCTTAAGAAACAAGTTTGCATTTTATGTCAGAAATGTGCAAAGGTCTATTTTTTTTGAACGATTATCCATTTTCAATGGGAATTGTATCAAAGTATTATCTATCCATGGATTTATTTATAAGTGTTTGGAATATTATTTTTGTATATTTATCATATTTTTATATATATCATATATATTATTATTTAGTTTATAAGTGTTAGGAATATTATTTAGAAGCAATAAACCCAAGTTTTTTGACAGATAAATAAAGCCAGGTTAATTATGCTTTTCAGTTAAAGGAAAAAAAATAAAGCTTTACCAAATGTGTTTCCCTTTTGCACTATTTACAAAAGAAGCACTATCTGCAGTAAATAAACTACGCTGACTTTTTATGGTCACTGCACCTTTCCAGATATTAGACTAGCAGCGCTCTTGTGGCTAAATTCTACTCATAGCCCAGAAGAGGAGACTTTCTGCTTTTCTGCCTCCTAGTTTCCTCTGCTGATCAGTGGCCCTAGTGGCTGGACTGCAACCAGCTGAATAAACCGTAAGGACGAACGTGCTCTCTTTGTACTTATAGAAGAGTTTTATGCCTGAGAGCATCCTGGGGCCACTCAGATCAGTATTTCATATACCAGCTTCTGCAGAAAGTATGTATTACGCAATTTTTTGGATGCTGAGTTTGAAGCTATTTCATCAGATATTTGCCAGCTTCTACCTTGACAAAACACCATTTTAAATATTTATCATCAGAATATGTATTCAGAAAATATGTCCAATTTCTTTCAAACATCTCCTTTTTTATGATTTGAAGATATCGATAATTTTTATTTACCATGCATCAGACAAGAGTTGCCTTACCTTGGAGGAGAGCTAGACCTTACCCCTAGCTAACACAGAAATAGAGGCTGCACAAAGCACTATCCCTCCAGCTTGTGCTAAAAATTCCTTTTTGACATTTGCTGAATCCAGGCTTGGGAACACAGGGATAGGAACCGCAGTCCCAACCCTGCTGTGTTGTCGTCAGAGGTTTGCCTTTTTCCAGGCTTGCTCCATGTTATATGACAGAGAGGCTGTCAGCTCCACTATCTTGGAAACATAACAGAGACAGAGGTCATCTCTCGGGGAACTGGACTTTAGAGTCAGCACTCCCCTCCAAAATTCACCCCGAGACACAGCAGCAGCCAACATGGGCACAAATCCAAGGCTAGGTGCTCCTGCCTTGCCAAAAAAGGATGGGACACCTCTCAGGGAAGCTGCACCAAGGTACAGGCTGGGCAAATCTGAGCTGCTCGAGAAGGGGGGCCAAATTCTCTCGTGTTGTTGCTCTGTTGCAGTCAGAGGTCGCCAGGAAGCTGGCCAGCCTGCAGGCAGCCCACTAGAACACTGTGTAACTTGCCAGCCATGTGAATTATCCTGGAGGCATAAAACGGGCCGGCACCAGGAACCCTGACATGTTAACGGTGGAAAAACACTGACCCATACAAATAGGGAGCAGTGGGCTGAGGAAGGCAGACCTCTGTTAGCTGCAGAGGGCAGGAAAAATATACGGATTTCAGAAATCATTCTGCATCTAACGGATACCACCCACAGCAGCTGAGGGCTAAGTGGAGACAGGACACCTGCGAGTTCCACCTGTTGGAGTTAATTCGAATCTCACTCGATAATAGTTCTTTAAAGCTTCACAGCACATTGCTAAGAGCATCCATGTTTTATTTAGAGAGAGGCAAAGCTTTAAAGGGCAGAGGCTTGACAAGCTGCAATGGGCTTTGCAGGAGCTGCCTGATCTGTGCTTCGGCTCTAGTGAAACTAGCAGTTCAAATGAGCCCTGAGCCTCCACTCCCCAAATACCCAGTTCTACAGGCAATCTTTTTTTTCAGGAGTTTGTGGTTATAGGTGACTTTAACCTATATGAAAAGGCATGACCTGTATGTGTATGAGTCACAATGACCAAAACAGAGAATTTCCAGCAAAACGTACCTCCAGACTTAGGACCAAGCTGAGTGCTCAGGACCCAGTACGGAACACCAGCTGATGCTTACGAAGTACTTAAAAATAAATTACTTTATAGCAAGGCTATTGTTTTCATATAATAAAGGGTAGATTAACCTCATTATTCTAAAATGCAAATCAGAAAGTCACCGTTGAGCAAACAGACAGGTAATTCCTGACTGTTGAATTTCTAATCTTGCAGCATGAGACTGGCGTAACAAAAACAGAGAGACAGGAAATGAGAATGAAACTAATGCCCTGCTCTGGAAAATCCAAGGACATTTCAGAACTTAAAACTTAAGCAGAAGCAGTGAATTTATCACCTTCGCCCTTCATTATACTTAGTTCAGTTCATTATACTTCTGTCCAAAATGTGTCATTCCCTCCCAGCCTCCAACTGAGAGTACTACATGACACTAGTACAAGCATTATAGTTCATATTATTTTCACGGAAAGAAGAGGAGATGCAGAATTCCTGCAGAAGATACTGCAGCAGCCTGGCCGTTACTCACTTCTTGTTTGCAGTCTGAAAATGGGCTGTCATTCTGGAATAATTCGTCTCCTTTTGCTCTTCTCGGGTGGCCGAGATAACAGTGAGGTCTCCAAAAAGGTCAACCAGCCAAGTCAGCCGGGCGATTCCACTGAAAGCTGGGAATCCTGCTTGCTTTTCATCAAGGACACTACCTAGTGCAACAGCGACACAAACAGTTGAGAAATGAGAAAGACAATATGGCCCTGGGCAGGAAAGACTGAAGTGGTGTGGCCTTGGACATCAGAGTGAAGGGAAGCCATCAGTGGAAATGTCACCATTTAGGAATTCAATAAACATGGTCAGCCCTGAGACGGATCAGCTGCTGGACTATGACACCAAAGGCAGAACAAAATACAGACTCAGCAAATGCTGAGGACATGTTTACAGGACATGTTTACAGGACATGTTTACATGTTTACATGTAAACAGGACATGTTTAGGGCAGAAGCATGTAGGTGGTTTCACAAGGAAATGGAGTAGGCAGATAGAAAAAAAAAGAAAATAAAATAAAAAGCTCAGCAATCTCTCCCAGCTCTTCCAAGACCAAAACACTATGGAAAAGCCTGAAGACCTCCACTGGAAACTGGGACACTTGCTCAGGGACTGTCTTGCTCTGTATGAATGAAGGGGACTGGTCACTACCATCACAGTACAGGAGAGATGAAGAAGCATTCTCTGCCCCACTCAACAAAGTACATGTGTACTTTCTTCATCAGAGGTAGCACAAAGATGAACAAAGCAATGGGCAGTTGTTAAGGCAAATGTGTTTTTCAGATAGTTCTGTAATTTCACGGAAGCGTCCAGAACATGTATATCTTTAGCCTATTTATAGATGGCCTTTCATCCAAACGAACGAATAAAGTCTAAGAGGGCTGACATCTCTGACAAGCAGGTGGCTAAAACCGAGCAAACTTACATCTTCTCATAGATACTGACCCGTAAAATGTAATGTTCCCTTCACCAGGTCTTTCCCAGCCACCTCCTTTTTCAGCTGCTTGTACTCTTCGGTCAGCAGTTCAATGTGCTCCACATGGAGGACTTTATCTGTTGTTAAGAAAAGCAAAAAAAACAGGCCAGATTAAATAAGAGCTTTCTCCATGAATCAAAGAGTAGTGAAAGCTTCGACAGACACCAGAGGGAGATCACTTAAAAGCATCCTCATTCATGACTGGCAAAATGATGTCAGGAGAAAAGTCAAACTCGGGCTCAGTGCTGAGGCATCAATTTGGGGTTCATGAATCACAGGAAGCAGAGTCTGTAACAACAGCAAGCACTGTGTGATTAAGCTAAACTCTGCAATGAAACCAAATACCCAACTAAGGCTGAAGGATTAGTCTTCAAAGTAAAGGGTGAATTCTTGGCCTCCTTCCCCTCATACTTCTCTGCTCTACACTCTTCCTCCCAGGGTATTAGGAAAGCAGATTAGGAAGAAAAAAAACACAGCACAAATCTTAGACCCAGATTGTAACAATACATTAAGGAGTTGCAATTAATTGGGCCACTTTGCAAGAGAGAGTAGCCAATTCTCATCTGAATCTGGCCTTCACTCAAAACATGCTTTTTTGGACAGTCTCCAAGACAGTCAGTTTAGGCTGCTGACAGTAACTGTTGCAGCTTTGAGAGCGGAGGCATAAATTCTGCTTAATGGGAAGCCATTTGGCTAGGAACAGGCCAGTAATTGGTGTTGGTACCGGGAAAAGGCAAAGTTGGAAATTCTATACCTCCGGTGTTGTAGGACAAAGTCACAAAGGAATTTTTTTAAAAAGCAGCGGTATAAATAGTGCAGCTTGTCCAAACGCTTTGCACTCTCCTCCTGTCTAGCATCATTTCTTTTCTTACAGCTGCATAAAACCCCACTGACTGGCCTCCGCTGAACTGCCAGGCTTCAACCCTCAGTACTGCAGAGATGGGACCATGTGCTTTCCAGAAATAAAGAGATTTTGATAGAAATAAGATTTCTTGCAAGCTTTCTTTTTCACAATAGCAGGAACGACTGTGCGTGACAAGCACCGGAAGCTAGGGTGCTGCTTCCAGTTTTATCTTCAGTGCACAAGTGCAAGAGCTACACTCATTAAGTGCTTTGCTACGACTACAACAGAACTTCCCTTGTCTTAGCCAAAGTGTCAGTGCCCGAATTTGGGGATTAGGGCACCGGTGTGGGTAAACATACCATAGTCTTAGCTCAATATCTGTGCGTTTGCTTCCTCACTGGCACGCATCTTAAATCCTAGCTCAATTGCCCTCCGAGACAGGCATGCTTCCTCGTGCAGCACCATTAGTTGGGCCCTGCTCCCTGTCAGAAGCCTTTGGTGATACCCAGTGTCTAAGTACTGTTTATAACCTCGAGAAAAATGCCATTACCTTTTTGCTCAGCCATTTCCCAGAGCTCATGGGCTGCCTTAGCAGACAAAGCCATGGGGTATTCAACGAGGACGTGTTTCCCGGCTTCTAAAAACGTTCTGAAAGAATACAACAGCAATCTTTAATAACTGTATCATGGAGATTATTTCTGTCCACTGTACTTACTGCTTCCGACTCCTGCAGTCAGCCCCCAATGAAGAAATGCACAACATGGAGTAACAGAAATAAAAGCCACCTTTCCTACTAGGATGTTGCTCTGGCTACATCAGATTTTTAAGCACTAGGAGAGCTCAGTTTTGTTTCTCCTTTCACCACAGACCTCACTCACCTGAAGCAAGTCACTAAAATGCTGAAGTATTGAGTACTGCAAACTCTGACTTCCAGACATTGAAAAGGAAAACCGAATCCTTCCTCTATCTGATCTCTGAGGAAAGGCTTTGAATTCTGCTTTAAACTGCCTGTATACAGACAGTATACAGTTTATACACAAGCCTAGAGATAGCCGACTGAAATTATGAGAACATGCATCTTCACCCCAACCAGTGCTCTAGGGAAGTCACTATTGCCCACTTCAGACTTCGAGTCTAGCAGTCCCTCCTCAGGGGTTCACATCCTCTCCTTGAATAGCTTTACATGGCTCCTCTATGGAAACTTATGGAAAAAGAAAAAAAAAAGACACAAAATACCTGATGTTTTTTTCATGACTTATGTTCTCTGTGCTGATGAAGGCTGCATGGATATCTTTGCTTCTCAGAGCTTCTTCCAGGCTAATCTGTTTGGCCTCATCAATTTTGCCCAGATTTCTCCTGGTTATTAACACAATAAACACATAATAAACACAAAACTACAATCAAGGCATAACCATTACAGTCCATTCTTCCCAATCACATGCTGTACAGAAACATCTGAAACTGTTCCCATGCCCACAGTCTGCCCTTTTCTGCCCTAAACAAGGGCAGAAAAGAAAGTCTGCAGCCAGGAAAGAGATAAGCACTTTCAGAGAGCAGTGGAGTGCCCCCCAAAATTATATATATATAATAGGTAATACATATATATATATATAACCTATATATATATTATAGGTGGTGGTATCACTATAGAAACTGTGCATCTATTTTTTGTTTTGTTTTCAAATTGAGCAGGGGGGTTGGACTAACTGATCTCTAGAGGTCCCTTCCAACCTCAACAATTTTGTGATTCTGTGAATTCTGTGTAAATAAGCATCGTAACACAATAACATTTTTTAACTGGGACTAGAAAGGGGATAATGCTTCTCTGGGACAGCTTCTCCTGATGTGTTGGGCTCGGCAGGCAAAAGCACCAAAGTTGTCAGGTCTACGAGCAGCTACAGGCTGGGAGGCTCTGATGCCTCGCGACGCAATATGCATAGCGCATCAGTCAGCGCTACAGGCAGGAGCTCTGGCCACCTCCATGAGCACATCACCCCAGAAAGCCTGCTGCTCTAGTGAAGACTGCAGCAGACACCTTGGTAATGTTAGGGTAGATGAGCACAGCCTGCAAGCAGAAGCTGAAAGCAAAGATAGGTAATGCCTGCGTGTGATGAGGCTGCAAAGAGTAGTGCAGCATTTCCAGCAAGGGAGGAAAACGCTCTCTGAATGGTGCCTTTCTGTGTTTTTCCCCACAGAAATAGTAGAAACCCTCTCATTAAAGTTAGTCAGTGCTAGCTGCAGCCCTGTTTGGCAGGGCAATAAAAGGAATGACCTAACGGACCCTTTCCGTCTCAAATGGCTCTGGCTGCATGATTTAAAAATAGCCGGAAAAAATACATTCACAGCCTGAGATCCATGCTTGCATCACCTAACTATTTAAAATCTTTCTGCTTTGCTGTCATGGAGCAGGCAATCTAGTAGGAATGCTCAGGGGAAGGGATATATGCAACACAGTCCTGCTAACCTGCCACTGCTTGGAGCTAGTGAGAGAAAACAGGAACATTGCTCTCTAAAAGGCAACCTTACCGTAGGTCCTAAATTATTGGGATTTTCTTTCAAAAAGCTATAGTTTCAACATCTGGCTAAAAAAAATAGAATTTTATTTTACAGTGTCAGGAGCTCTGCAAAAATATGTATTTCAACTTTTCCTTTTGTAACACTTTAGCCATTTCTGCAAATTTATTCTACACATTTCACTCATTCATGTTCCTATCATAAGTTTGTACCATCACGAACCTACAGCAAATTTCAATCAGTCAGAATCACATTTCTTTTTAATCACACATACCCTGCAGTGAGAAGGGCTCTTAGCTTTTATTGTAAATACAGTAAAATCTGCACAGTGTCTCATTAAGGCAGCCTATTTGTTCCCTTTGTAAAGTTTTTCTGTGCTCATTTCCTATCTGATAGTCAGAACAACAGGCATATGTGCATCATATGCGTTTCCCTTGTCACAGTGCCTTGACTGTAAGAAAAATATAAAACATTGGTTATTCACATCCTCTTTTCCCCCTCAAATAAGAGTCCTCTCTATTACAAAGGCAAGTGCACAGAGAAAAAGAAACATTGCAACGCGCATGTTAAACATGAAACGTCTAACCTGGATATAAATCCGTAGAGTTTCAGGCGCTCTGAAGGGCTGGAAGGTATTGGATTCATCAAATCTCGGATCCGTGCTAAGCCAGCAATTCCAAGTCCAACCACCACGGTCCCAAACATCTTGTTAATCTGAACAATGGAAAAAAAAGGAAAAAAAGGAAAAAAAAAAAAAGACTTTTTGGGAGGGGGAACGCGGGAGGCTGCACTGGCCCTTAACCCCACTTTTACCCAGTTCCAGCTGTCAGCAAGTAGCTGATAGATGCGATGCTACAAGGAACTGAACCCATTCACATCCTATTGAGATGCTGTTCAAATGTTTCGGCAGGTCAGATGACTGGCCTTTAGAGTGGTATTTCACAAGTTATTAAACCCCAGCTCTAGCATAAACTTCTTCCTTTCTGTGAAAGGAAGGCAGACGTCAAAAGTGAGACATCCTTCTATTTATACCATAGCTGCCAAGCTGGGTTCTGCAAAGTTTTACACAAACTCTGTTCACCTCCAGAGTTGCTGCAGCGCAGGCTCCTCCGGGCTCACCCACGGGCATTAACACCGCAGAGCAGCACAACCAGAACACTTCGGGTCGAAAGGCAAAGAATATCTTTTTTTCCCCTTCTCCCCTTTTGTAACAGCTGTGAAGCTCATAGTACCAGCATGAAATGGATGAAACTCTCCACCTGATAATTTGGCCAAGATGCTTGCCTGGCATTTCCATGCTCAACGTAAGCACGGTCTGAAGGGATCAGGGTGCAGCAACACAGCTGTAAGTTCTCACAGCTCGAGAGCTGCTAAGAAACTGTATCAGCTGGCAAAAAGGGAAAGAAAGACGGAAAGAAAGACGGAAAGAAAGACGGAAAGAAAGACGGAAAGAAAGACGGAATTCATATCTGAATTTTGTTTCTTTACTACATATATATTCCTGTCACTGCTGAACTCGGCTTACTTTATACATGCCAGAAGTGTACAAGAGTAAAACATTCAGTGACTTGTTTAATATGAGAGAAGAAAGGAGTGATGTTGGAAGAGATCTCCAGTGGGATTACAGAGACGAGTCATTATCAAATATTTGTGGTATAACATGACACTGCTCACCAGGGACAAGAGATCTTTGGGGCTCTCAGAGAGAGGAGAAAAGAGGACAGCAAGGTCACCACCATGTGATCTATTAGCAATTATGTCTGCAAGCAGAATTCAGGCATGGATTCTCATTTACACCCATTTTTCTCTACAGCCAACACAACACAGAATTACAGAACACAGGTGGGAAGGAGGCTGTCTGACCCAAACTCCACCCAAAGGAGGTGCCAGCCCAATTGGGCTGCTGAAGACCTTGCCACATTCTGGCTGTGTCCATGGATGGACATCAAAGCGCCTCTCAAGACCCTTGCTACAGTGTTTGACCACCTTCACAATGAAAGCGTCTTCCAGCGCATCTCTGGGTGTGGGTTCAGCTTCTCTACACCCTCCTGCCAGACAGCTGTAGACAGCAAAAATCTCCCTTCAGAAGCAGAACCAACCAGCTCCCTCACTGCTCTTCATGGCTGCAGCCCCCTCCAGCTGGGCCGTACCTGCACCCAGGCCCACATACCCCTCGTCCTCCCCTTTGTCGCCAATGTAGCCATAGAAGTCCTGCTGTTGCCCTTCATGTGCTATGCTCATCTGAGCTGTAGCTTTTCCAGCTGCAACCCTGCAAGTTTGGGAAACATCCCTATATTCCTCCCGGGTAGTCCTCCCGGCTTCTGCATCTGCAGGCTTTCTTTCCACATTTGAGCTCCAAGGAGGTGGTAGCCGAAGATCAGCCTCCAGGGCAGTCTCCCATGGGATCTTGCCAGGCAGATCCATCAGCAATCCAGAACCTGTTCTCCTGAATTCTGCAGCTGTATTTCCTTAAAATTTATCTTGAAGAGCTCCAGTATGAATCAGGACCAGGTCAGCTGAAACTCAGAAGCAGCCTAGCTACAGAACAGCCCATTGGGTCTTACCTTACATTCAGAAATGTTCAAGGTTACTGGAGTCTTCAGCAGTTAATATTTGCTTGCTGCCTTTAGCAGAACTGGTGTTGGGAGTCACACAGCAGAAAATCCCCCTGAAGTCTCCACAGCTGTTGTGAAGGAACTGCTATTTCTGCCTAGGTGCCAGCTCTCAACTACGGAGAGAGGAGCGGGGAGCTGACCAGATCCTTCCACCGACATTAACAGCAAATATTTCTCAACAGACGCTCAGGATGCTGAACACCAAAATTTTCCCCTCTCCTTTGAAAAGCAGGCCTGATTTCATCCAAAGAACAACTCCTGGCCTCCTGGAGGGGCCGGATGCAGGAGAAGCCAGATCCGTTGAGTCTAGGAACAAAATCCGTCACTATGCAACCTGCTGCCATAGCAACGAGCCGGGTCTCGGAGCTCCTGGAGACGTCGCAGGTCGGCAGGCCGCTCACCCAGATGGGGACGGACGCCAAAGGAGTGTCCGAGACCTCAGCTCATGCACGGAGCTACGTCTCCAGCAGCGGCGCTGGCTTCTGCTTCCTTGGCTTTGCAAGGGCACCTCGCACGCACCAGAGGCCAGTCCCAATGACTATAAGAACATGTACTCAGCTCTTCCTTATTTCAAAACTTTACAGCAGGACTACGGTTACTGCTATCTTTCAAGCACAAAAGCAATGCCAATCCCAACTGTCGGCTGCCTTGTCTGCCTTCCGTGCCTTAACATATGTCACCCCGCCTAAAGCTTTGACAGAACGATTTCAGTGGCATTTTCAAGGCGGCTGAAGCTCAATGCCCCTGGTATTAAAAAAAACATACACAGTAGTACGATAAAGAGCATCCAGGAGCATTTCCCTCTGTCCTTTTCCTCTCCTAATTGGCCGAATGAAAGAAATAGGGCTGGCGAGAAGGTCACAGAGGTTCTTCCTTCCCCCTTGGGGCATGATTAAAGCGCGTCCCCACCATCCCACAGCGACCTCTCTGGCCCAGGCACAGTAGCTCAAGTGCTCCCCGTCTGACAGCGAGGAGCCCTGCACGGTACCAAGAGTGCTTAGGAAGGGAACCCCACCGAGGTGGCTCATTTATCCCCACGGATCTCAGAGCCTCTTTGCCCTTCTCCTTTTTCCCGATTGCTCCATGGGTGAGGTGGTTACTCTACAGCAAAAAGGGCTCCGTAGCCAAGTATTCCAGGGAAATTTTGCAGGAATTTTCAGTAGCAAAACAGTCAAAGGAGTTTGCCCAACGGGATGGGTCACACAGGAAAATGCACTGCTCCTCCTCAGTGCAACACAGCAGGACTTGAGCCCTTAATCTCAAAAATGCTAATGCTCACAGAAGCAAGCTTTAGGTAAGCAAGCTTTACCTGCGTTTTGTACAATGTTCCTAAGACCACAAAGGGGCAAGACAAGAGGAAACTTGAGAATAAACACCCTATTTATGATAGGACATAGTGTAAATGCCCTTCTTGGAGCCACTGCAGGATGAGGGAAGGTACCTGCTCTTGCTGTATATTCATACAGCAAATTTCACCCAGCTTTATGCTCCTCCCTGCAGTTTTCAAGGACTAGTTCCCACAGATACGAATGAGTGACTCACATTAGAAATCAAAATATTTTCCATTAATTTAATCTGCAGTAGCAGCACACTGATGTGAGAGTCTTTCCTGAAGTGTTCCCGGTCTGGTCTCTTTAAATGCGCTGCTTGAAATGACTAGCACTTTATACTCACACATATCTGAAGACTATTAAACACCTTAAATATAAGCACTTAATCTGAAAATGCCCCTGTCCAGGATATCCCACTTATGCATATTCAACAGCTGAACTAGCTAAGTAGTTCATTGGGAATTTTCACTTCTCCAGTGCCCAATCTCACTACTCTGATCTTTGCTTATATTAAATTTATAACTCTGTCAAGCCAGAGTGCTTGATATGTTGCCATTTCCCTCCTTACTACTTAGAAACACACTTAAAAACACACAACACAATCACCGCTGCAGTGGCAGCCACCTCCCACTACTCCTAAGAGCAAAGGAACCCTAAAGGCAATGTGGCTTCTACAAAAAACAAAAAAGGCACTAACAAAGAGCCACCCTTCTCCGGTTCTGCTTTCTGTGCTCCGGGCAGACGCATCCTGCTAGGAGCAGGCAGTAGTGAGAGCAAGAGCTGGTGACGCGGCGTGTGCCAGCACCTCGAGCTGCTGGGGCTCCCAGCAGGGCTCGGAGGAAGCATCGAAGTTTGGCAGGGTGTCTTTTTGTTGGGATTTTTTTTTTTTTTTGAAGTGCAGAACTGCACAAATGCCCCAGTTCAGCAGATCATTCAAAGTCAGAAATAACCTTTGTTCTGCAGGGAACTACTTAGGCACTTCAACTGCTAGATGTGCTCGAGTGCTTTTTCCTGGTAGGCACAGCTAAGGCCTTATCAATTCTATCCAAAGGCAAAAGGTAAGAGAAAAAAAAATAGAACGGAGGTGAAAAAAAGCTGTCTGCACAATAACGCGCTCGAGTGGGAGTTTGTGTTTTGGTCGCCTTTGCTGCAATCCAGAGATAAAGAAAAGCCTCTCTTTGTGGAAGAAAGAGATAGTCACAGTGGTAACAGCCAACACTCTGCCCCGTTGCTGCTTCTCTTTAAAACATTAATTGTGGGGAAAATGAGAGCCACAGAGGAATTTTGTTCAGAAGCTGCCAAGTCCTTTTACAATCTCTATGTTTTGGAAGAAGCCAACACCACCTTGGGGTTTTAGAGAACCCACATCCATTTTCTCTGAGAGCACTTTGGTGCCATCTTATCTAGCAACAAACAGCTCCATTTCTAAGCAGCTACCACAACCCAGGTCACAGTTCCCTGGCAGGCACACGGGGTCTGGTCTTAACTTCGAGGTGCAGAAGGCACAGGCTCCTGGTTCAACTTTAGGCACTAGAGTTATAAGGTCTAAGCAGCAGGTTTCACACTGCCTCACCACCACAAAACAGTCTGTCATCCTGACTGGCACCACTGTCCCAGAACAAGCTTTTCTCCCCAGCCTTTAACAGCTATTTGAACAACACACCTGCACGGTTTGATATTTATATAAATGCCTTTGTGCCCAGCATTTGTTATTAAATTCTGGTTTTTCAGCTGGCTGCCAAAGCTGATGGTGATATTATAAATAGGT